TGAGTCCTCAAGAGAGGCTGAACTCATATTGTTGGCAAGGATGTGGCAAATGTTGAGTCCTCAAGACTTCAGTAGATTCAGTTTAGCATTCTCAAGATCATAATATGTTTTTTAAAGTTAGCGAGTTCAAAAAATTGATACATGGCTATATTTATATTCAGAAATGGCTAGCAAAATGATCTTCTAATTTTCTAATAATGTAAACCTTAGACTTAATAAGTCCCAGCTTTTTATTAAGTTTTGGTCTGGCTTTAAAAATCTAGTCATGACAGTCAATGAACCTCAATTTGTTATGATTACATCTAATGAAATTAAAGAGAAGAAGCCCATCTTTTAATTCACTGAAGAAGGTGGTTGCTCTTGCAACCACTAAATCTTCTATGTTTTCAAGGATCAAATTCCTTTAGCAAGTTTCACAGAAGATGAAATCTATTATCTTATATGATATGCCTATATCAATACCTTTGAGATTGGATCATCATCTACTATTACTTCTATGATGAATAAGATTAGGAGAAGGAACAAGAAACCTCGATGAGGTAGAGAACTAAGAAAGAGCAGTCCCTAGAAGAAGAATTCATTATGTATGCTACACAAAACTTGTAGAAGGAGAAATCACCCTTATTTCTCCCTTGCTAGGAGGAAGTTGATTTCGTCCTCTCTCTATTGTTGATGGAGAGGAAAATGTTAGGATGATTATTAATTCTATCACTTACATTCAATAGTTGCCTTGTTCTGCCATACCTAGTAGAGAGAAAGAGAAAGTTCGAAAGTCTATTAAAGGATCTAGTCAAGAAGTGTGAAAGTAACTTTGGACAGTCCAAGAAAACCAAAATCAAGAATAAAGAACTAAAGTCAACAGTGTGAGTAATTGCTGACAATTATCAAAGGGAACCTAGAAAATTCTTTAGGAATAATGACCACATAGTATTAACTAGTGGTCAGCACCAAAATAATTCTTCTAAGCCTATTGAGATTAGATTTCTTTCCCATTAGAGTTATCATCATTCTTCTCCACCTATATCCATCATCCTAAAAATCCAGCAAAGATCTCTCATCTCTCTTAAGTGAGCCAGTCTCCCAAAGTCGACAAACACCATTTTAAGAGTAGAAAATCATCCTCTCATCCTGATGCAAGGAGACTGAGGTCCATAATTCAGCTAACCCTAATATCGAATGAAAATAAATTTTAGCGACCTAAAGTGTTATCCACTATGTCTACACCCATCATAAGTAAAGACCATGTAGATGAAGAAGCAAGGACACCTAAAAGAAAAGTGATGATAAAATTTGTGCTAGGTAGACAGTACACTCAAATTGACCCACATTATGTGTTAAGAGAATATATAAAAGAAATGAAGGATAAATTAAAAGAAAGCATATAGAGAATAAAATATGAAGATTATGCTAAATTAGCAGTTATAGAACAAGATGATGTAGATATGTCTGTTACTGCATAGTAGGTACTAGTGCATCGACATATAAATACAAATCTACTAATGTTAATCTATGAGTTATAGAGGTTGAGGACAGTTTTGCACCAGATTTAACTCAATGTATGTTAGATCAAATAAGCCAAAAAGATGAACAAAACTCGAGAATAGAAAAGAAGATAGAGAAAATGATGGTTGTCATGGCTTTATTGCAAAGTTGAGAGTACCCATCACTGTGAGCATAGGTTGAGTCGACTCAACTAAAGTCTATTTAGGTGATGAGTAAAAATATAGAAGTAATTAAAGAAGAAGATAAAATAGTAAAGTAAGAAAGGGAGTCTATTCTGCCTGTAGGCATAAAGAAAATCATAGAGTTGTAGGTTAAAGAAGCAGTAACACAATCCCATAATACTTCCTTTGTTATGAAGGATAGGCCATATTCAGAAGAATATGAATTAATGTCATATCCAAAAGGATTTGTGCCATCTGCATTCAAAAACTTTGTTGGAACTTGTAATCCCAAATAGCATCTAGTGCAATTTAGAGCTAGTTGTAGAAACATCGGAGAAAGTAATGCATTATTATTCAAACAATTTGTCAGTAGCCCATCAAGGGCTGCATTTGATTGGTATGTAAAGCTGCCAAATGGGTCTATCCATACCTTTTTCAGAGTTGGAAGCCTGCTTATAAAGATATTTTTCATATCTAGACATTATGTCACTATTGGGGATATGGTAGTTAAATAATATAAACCAGAGGAAAATTATCCTGAGACTGAGCCACAATTACAAGAGTAGTAAACTATAGAAATCATCTTAAAGAATATTCATGGTCCATTAGCTTTTCTTCTTAAGGGTTTAACATTAAAATATTTTAGAAGCTCTTAAGTAAAGCCTCTAATATCCAAGAGGAAGCTTCTCAATTATTATTCTTAAGAGATCACCCCCTTCTATATTCTAAGAATTTGAAACCTTACAAAGTTTCAGGAAAAATTTGAGTTAGTTTCTATTTTAGATAAAGGTAAACAGTCAATGAAAGTACAAATAGATAATCCAATACATCGAATACAATATCAAAAATTTAGTGGACCTTTGAATGATCATCAAAGTAAACCCCAATCATATCTCACTCTAGAGAATAGGGATAAGTTTGAAGCCTATATAAATAAAGTATATTCATTTTAAAAAGAAAAAAAATAAGAGAAGTTTCAAAATCGTTAAAATAAATCTATATTCAAACTACTTGACCCTAAGAGACCAGAACAAGTGGGCAAATCATAGCAACTCTATTATTTTCCATATCACTAGATGTCTGTTATAAATGGGAGACTACATTACTTTCAAGGAATGGCTTGAAAAAATTTCAAATATAGAGTGGTTGTAATTCCCAAGGAGTACTTGGTATATTCAAGCCAGGGATTAGTTAGATGTGTGATTGGTGAGCCCTTTGTTCCTTCTCATATTATAATGACTAATCATGAATGGGATGTTAGTTTATTGCATTCTTCTAAATGTATTATAAATAAAATATATTGTTCTTCTCTTTAGGTGTCTCAAGGAGCTTAGAATCCCATCCAGGTTGATCTAGTAGCTTCTGAAGAAAATCTGAGGATGACTTTGACTAGAGATCTTAAGGAAGTCCAAACCTGCTGAAATCCTGTAGTTCCAGAGAAGAATAAGAATAAGAAAAAAAAGTTATGGTAAAAAAAATTATACTTTATGTGGATGAGGGGTTTAAATTTCTTATGATATTAACTCTGTATGACTTTTATTTTGTCCCTCATAGGGCCAAACCTTTAACAAAGAAAGATTTCACGTACATCTTGACTATTTCTGATGATGATAATGTGAAAAATTCAAACACTACACCAAAAAAGAATTCTTTGAAAATAGGTATAAAATTAAATGATCAAAAAGAAATTCTTCAATATTTCTCTTATAGATCAGCCCCTATTCTTGATGTTTAGGGTACTCCTATTTGTACCAAAATAAAGATGTCAGATTTTGACAATTCATGATGTGAACAAAAGAAGTAATTTTAAATAAATCTTCATAGTTGTAAGTTCTGCAGCTAAGAGCACATCAATAGATAAAGAAAAATAGGTTATAGATAATCTAGAATCTTCAACACTGCCTCAACCTGTGCAATCTCAAGATATAACTTATTAGGAAGTGCCCATGGTTGATTATAATATGCTAGCACATCTCAAGAAGTTGCCTACAAAATTGAATATTTATGATGCTCTGATCCTGTCTAAGAAAATGAGAGAGACTTTGATCAAAGCTTTACCTTGTCTAGAAATTTGTATGGCTTAGTTAGCATTAATATAGTATAAAAAAACCTATACTTCGAAGAGGTTTTAGGAGTAACATTTTCAAATGAAGACTTATTATTAGGAACCACCCATCATATTCGCCCGTTGTATATCTCTATAAGCGTAGACAACCTTAAGCTTCACATGTCCTTGTTCATCTAGGTACATCCGTTAACATTATGCCACTTCCCTTTGAAGGGATTTTTACTTAGATTAATAAGATCAGTATCCATAAAAGGAAAAATGAATACATAATTTGACTGAAAGCTTACCTGCAAATTTATTGCAAAATTAACGAAAGTATACTAATTTTTTTAAAATTATATAATGAATACATAATAAATTTACAACACATGCCCTAAATATTTTTAAATAATTAAAAAAAATTGTAATGTGTATAATAACTTTTTTAAGGTTATTAATCATAAATGATCTACAAGAATAATTTATAGAAACAAATTTATAATATGAATTTAATATATAATCTATTGGTATAAATTATACTAAAACAATTAACCTAAAGTAATAAAAAATATATATTACATCATCCAATTTAACTCCTAATTTTCTGATTGAATCATTAAATCTTGAACCTATCATTCTTCCAATTCTATATCCAATCCAATTTTCACAACCTTCATTTAACTAAAAATTTGATCTTCAAAACTGTGTTCAAAGCAGAGGTAGTGATATCTATCTCTATGAAAAATAAAATTTATTTAACATTGGGTGCTATTTCAAGAGAGTTTATAAAAAAAAATTGAAAAGAGTAAAGCAACATAATCCAAATAAATAACCTAAATTTTTATCATGCAATGATGGAAAATTAACGCTATTCTCTGCAATTTTTCATGGCTAAATTTTATTCAATCTATTCTAACCATTTTGGGGCAGAACTTTGAACAAAATATTTTTCACTTGAAAACAAAAAAACAGTAGGCGAAATCACTCTATCCAAAGATTCAGACTCCAGACGCATGTACATATAAAGTCTAAGATATATGAGCTCTGCTCCAATTGCATTTAATTAGAACAGATACAAAGACTGGATTGAGGAACTTGTTGAGCTGCATTGTAGAAATATTACATTATATGGGAAAATATTAGGAAAAAAGGGGAAATTTACATGCATACCACTTTATACTATCCTATTTACATATCTAACACCTAAAATTTTAATATTACATATATACCAACCTATATTATTTTAATATCAAATATATCACTCATAAATTTCATTTCTACCACTCATATTTGATGTGAAAATGAACTGTGGGTGGTATGTATGTAATATTAAAGTTTCATGTGTTAAATATGTAAATAGAATAGTATAGAATGGTATATATGTAAATCTCTCAAAAAAAAAAAAACTAGGTATATCTTGAACTGAATATAGGTTCAGCTTCTGCATTTGGCTGTGTTCTACGAGTATATTTGATAAGCAAACCTTCTGTAGAGAGGCCAGGCACACGAATATCTCTACATTACGAAAGATGAATTACCAAGCAGCACTTCAGGATAATAAGGACACAAAATTCAAAGAAAAACAGGATTTGATCCTCACCGGATATAGGGCTCCAAGTCCTTCCATTCCCACTTTTGCCGCTCCCGAAACAAAGCAGCAAAGCGGTTGGCTGGATCTGAAGGAAGAGCTGAGATGCTGAAAGCACGAATCCACTCTTCAACTCCAAGTTTTTCATATAAAACTTCACCCTCAAGCATTTTCAAATCTGCCTTCATTCCTGGAGGGATACTGTGTTCCCACTTGTCCATGAAACTCTCGAGCTTCATCTTTCCTCCGCTCAAAACACGAAGGGCAAATCGTAGGCATACCCGTTTTTCATCTAGTCTCCATAAATTATCGTTAGAACAATATACTTTGCTTCCATGAGTTTCAAGGCAGTGTGAAACTATCCTGGGTGGAAAGCCATCAGCTTCCATGGTGGACAGGACACAATCTTCACTGAGTGCACTTATCTTCCAGTCATGCAGGACTGAGTTGCGTAAGATCATATCTAAGGTTTCATGCATTGTTTTGTCATCAACAATCCTCCAGTACCCATCAATTTCCACAGCAGAGAGGGACTTCAACGCAGCTCTTATCTCTTCTTCACTTGCTTGGATTGTTTCAACAAGGTCTTGCCACCTGTGTAGGCCTCCGCTGTGCACTGAACTGGAAGATAAATCTTCTTCAAGATTGTAAGGGTTCTCGCTGAGAAGTTTCTGTAACTTATCAAGCTTTGGTGCTGCTTGGATCAATTCAATGTTACCTGGTGCAACTGTGATGACAGATGCAACCACTGAGGTGCTCATCTCATCATTGGCAGAAGTAGTTTTCATGGCTGGAATCGAGTCTCCTGGAGGGATCAAGAATACAGAGTTGGATGTGCCAACAAACTTCATAGCATAAGTGGATGAAAGAGTACAAAGTACCGCATCCTCATCAGGCTGTCCTCGAATTGAAACCCTGATAATGAGGTGAAGAAAAACTTGTGAGGAAAGTACATGCTGAGAAAAATTCGATCTCAAAGAGGATAAAAAGGGCCAAAATGCAAATTACAGAAATTGGACAAGAAATTATTAAATACCTTCCCAAGTCAAAATTCGAACAAGCTAAGAAAATTGTGAAGTTGCTTTGCTACACCTTAAGTTTGACTGAAGACAAATGCAACTAGTTTAGGGCACTCCAAGAATGCGTGGAATATCAAATATACCCAGGAATCTGAATATTGAGCCATTGAACTTTCTCGTCAATTCAATGAATTATCTAAATTTCAATTACGATTGCAAAAAAGGAGATTAGCTATTTAATTATAAGTATGGAATTTAAATTATATAAGATATGTTCTATATTTTATAAATTAGTTCTCTATATTTTTTTATCACATATTTGCTTCATTATTACATCATTTAAGAAATAATTAAATATATTTACATATAGAACACTCAAAACTAGCTAAACCCCACTATTTTTATGTTTAATACCAAAGCCCCACTATTTTCTTGAATTATCACTTTGTTAATCTGATTAATTACATTTTGTAGATGGGAGGAAGTATAAATATTATCTCACTGATGAATGGCATTTGGAATCAGCAGCATGCACAATTTGTCCACAACTAAATAAAAGAAGAGGAAGTCGCAACATGATCTAACTATCAACGAGATTGGGGTTGTCTGCAACAACCCTAAAAACTACGCTAATGAAGAAGAGTTAATTAATGGGAAGGTAACATTTTTAAGTTACTTAAAAGAATTGAATATTATCAGAGTAAATAGCTAGATTTAAGTATTTAACATGTAAAATTAGACTGTTTTGATTGTGTATGCAAATCCCCCTTTTCATATTTATAACATTGTTATGGTTCAAATTTCGATTAAATTCAAATAGAACCTTAAAACCTTGAATATTTCTTTCTTCTAGTTCAATATTCAGTCACATTTTCAGAATATCAGTGTAGATAGACTGTTAAGACTTGATTATATTATGTGGGTCAATCAATGTCGTTTTTAATTGATTTCTAAACCTCAAATTTGTAATTGCATGCGTTATAACCTCTATAATAATGTTATCAATTTCTATGTAAAACATAGCTTTCAAAAAATTCTTGATTGAAGGGGTTCTTAAATTTGTTACTTAGGATGCATTTCCTCATCATTTCATGCACATACTTGGAGTATGCCAGATCCACATTAGAGATGCCAAAAGAACGCAGACAAATCAAGAGAAGCCAAAAAATCTTGTCCCGATTAATATCGGTCATGGTACCATGACAGTAATGCTTGTGATCGATTCAGCTGCAATTATCAACTTTCATTATTATAAAAAGTTGATTATGTTATTTTCATTATAGTGGGCTCGAGGTATCAATTTGCTTACTCGAATAGCAGCTCCCTCAAATTGAAAGCAATATTGATCACTACAAACAGAAGCAAAAGGTTATGAACATGAAGTCCCATGACCAAAGATCTAAGAGAATGGATGATGTTGTAAGTATTGTCTCAATTTAAGGGGTCTCCTGTTACAGGAGAAATTCCGTCGATATTAAGGATTCACATAATATAAGGTCACTCTACGAATTATCTTTAAATCTATTGAAGGGCTTGCCAAGTAAAAGCTCTACATAACAATCTAGTATATAATTTTTAAAAACAAAGGTTGAACACACGCCCTCTAATTAAGTTAACCAAAAAGGAGCTATGGTTGGAGGGGTTCATGACTGATAGTGTCATAAATTAGCTTGTTAATCATCTTTTTCGAACAAAGAGCTATTAACTTGAAAAGAGAGAACTTTCAATTAGAGTTCATCAATATGCACTAAATATTTAGTGTATACTGTATAGTAAAAACAATTTGAATTTATTGTTGAAAGATTTACCATTGTAAGCTTAAAAGCAAATGATGGGTTTATGATGACAAACAAGAACAAGATCCCATTATTCTATCATCCCAAGTTGTAATGGACGCTAGTCTACTTAGTTGATGAGGTAGTCGACCCAATCCGATTGAAGGACTCTTATTAGCAACCATGAGTATGTTATTTAAAGGACTCCTATAAACTTGCGGTGGATGTTCATCTATGAAGACAAGTTTAAGTCGGCCTTAACTACCAGATGATTTTGTGTCTTATTAAGTGTACAAGATGATTTACAACTCAAGGATATTTTAACCATCAACCAACCTACAGGCTCTAGTCATAGCCATAACTTAAAAGTGCCAATTTGCAATGAAACTTTTAGTCATAAGGGCATGATCATAATAGTTTACATATGATGTCATTTGGCAACAAAACAATAAATCAGAGGACATGCCATTTGGCAGTAAAAGAGAGCTAAGCTGGCAAAGACTTCTTGATACTGGCATTTTAATGATGACCTTGATATTATAGAACTTAAATCCCACTATGGCATTACCCCAAAAAGTTTTTGAAGAAACCCCAAATGCATATTTGAGAAGATTCATTTTGAACTCAAGCGTTATAGTTCTCTCAAATACAATTCTCAAATCATCAAAGTAATTCTTTCAATCCTCGCTCTTGACAATAAAAATCAGTGAAGTTATGAGGGTGTGCCAGTCCTTCAAGGACAATGAGCAACAACAATAGATAGTGGAAGCATTGGCAGGAGATCTCCGGTTGAGACTCCGGTGCTAATGATGATTCTCATTTCCTAATTCATATATAATAAAACACCATTAGAGCCCATCTCTAGCTCCCACCATCATTGGCCAAACTAGATAAGGTATGTGAGGTGAAACAGTAGTTTTGAAAGTGTAAAGATAGATCAGGAAATGCCAAAAAAGTGATGCATCACCTACAAGCTGCAAACATAATTGTCATTTTAGCAGTTTGTTCACCTTAGACTCAACAACCAATGATTTGAAGGGATCCCTATGATCTACAATAATGAAACCATTGGATGACGTGGAGGTCTACAAGAACAAGGTCAAGAGGTTTCACTCATAACAATCTTAAAATAGACGATATTTATGAGCAATAAGATTAGTAGAACTAACTTGGCTCTGATACAATATTAAAAAAGAGATAATATGAGAGAACTACACGTATTCAATTGTGCATTAGTTAAATGCCTACATGTGAAACAGGAGAACAATGAAGAAAAATAGAATAAAATTGGATATCCAAATAGTGAATGGTGAATATTCCTGCTATATATGATTGGCACATGTGATGATATGGACATGGAAATGGCCGCATCTCACTTCATATAAAAGAAACTGAAATTATTTTGAAAAAGGCATACTGGGCAAGACTTCTCATAAAAAACAACCTACGGGCAGCTTTCAGTATATTTCAACGGAGAAGTAGCTTAAGCTCACGCGACTAAGAAGCTAGCCCTAAAATTATATCCAGGAAATAATCTACAATAAACGGATTGACACGTTGTTTATTGCTTATATAATTTCAATTATTACGAAATTGGGTGTCATTGCTATCATATAACCAACTCTGCAATAACCTCTCCACCACAGAGTAGCATACACTTAGAAAGTAAACTAAGCCAAAAACGCCTACCACCTGAGTGTGATTCTCAATCTAATAAATGGGGTTTTCCAATCACGCCGTGTTATCTATGATGTTGTTCTCGAACCAAATAAGCACAACGGCAAAGGGCTTCAATTGATTAGTATATGTTGCGAGATGGAGCGCGGGAGCAGCATCTGAGAGATATGTTACAAATTTATCAAAGAGAAAAAGAAATTTACCGGTTTCCTAGAACATCAGGAAGAAGCTTGTCGTCAACCTCGAAGAGAAGGAGATCGTCGTGAGACCCGAATTGGGAGTGGTAGCAAATGGGGATCGAAGAACCCGGTGTCAGGCTTAGGCTGGCTTCCGCCTGACCTTCCCAACCTTCTCGTTTTTTCTGGACTTCCATCCCCCCCTCTCTTCCCCCTCTCTCCACCTCGCTCCAGCCTAGGAGAGGGAATCCCGCATTTTGGATATCAGATGCACCGGATTTAGAAAATTTTCGCGCTTCTTTGGGCGCGACTTCACCAAAGAAGCCCGCCCTATGTCGTGTCAAAAAATGGGAAAATTATCAAGTCCGGTGTCCGGATTTCGGATTTCGGATTTCGGATTTCGGATTTCGGATTTCGTGCAGACAGCTTCGTATCACTCAAATATATTGGGCTCCAATGTATTTGGATGATGTGGCATATCTGAATTAGATGTCTGGACGTTCGATGACTGGACCAAATAATTCGCCCAAAAAATGACCCAGTTTACCATCCTATCCTAAACATTCACATTCTGATTTATATGTTTAATAAAATTCAGTATTCTAATTTATTTATTAATTGAGTCTAATTTAGATTGATCTGTTAACTTAATTTTAACTCAAAAGTAACTAGTATAGTATATTTTTTAAAATTATTTTATTTGTTGGTATGATTTTTTTAATTAATCTAAATTCTATAATTAACCATTATAAAAAAAAAGTTAATAAAAATATATTTTTATGTCATTCTAGTTGTTAGTGGGTCGGGTCTGGGTCTATCTTTTTGACCCACTTATTAAACGGATTCAATTTGAGTTTACTAGATTCATATCGAATCAATTTTCAATCAGACTTGAACTCAACCATTAACCCATTTTGAAATCTCTACCTACACCAGTGCCATTAATTTTTGTATTCCTTACCTATTGATTAATGGCTTAACTAAGCCGCCACAATTGGGTCATTTTGAAGATTGATGGGTTTATTGAAGTTTCTTGTAGCAGTTCATAAGTAATTAATGCTCGGGCTCTCAATTAAACAATACAAATAAAAATAAAAATATGTATATGATACTTGTTGCTAGTTAGAGTATTCACGGCGGTAAAGTATGAAAAACTTAATGTCTTAACATTGTACAAGTAACCAGCTCATACATACAAAGAGTAGAAACAACAGAATTTTTTATGTCGTAACTAGGATGGAACAAGCTTTGATCCTCTGCCAACTTTGCTACCAACAATGTTTAAATGGTATGAAAGCACCAGGAGATTATAGAGAAGTCTCTGATAGAGAAAAATGAAATCTCAGAGCACCTAGAGGATAGCTAGGGTAAGAGTGCAGTTGGAATGAGATAGTTTTGAGGTTTTGGTCTAATTTAGACATTAGAGCCCATTTGGATGGCTGGGATGCTTCAAATGATGAGGTTGGATGCTAGACACCTGACTCAGGTAGTTAGACAATAGAGAGGCATGCTACTTAGTGAAAATGACCCTAGGTCTTTCCACATAAGAGAGGATCACCTAGCCGACTCAAGCTAAATCAATGGATGGGATCTGTTGGGGTAGTGTCTAAGAATATTTTGAAATGTATTTGAATTATTGGGATGGCCTATGAAAGAACAAATGAAGAGCATTAGGTTGTTTAACTAAATGGGTTCGTTTAGTGTATATTGATTAATTGACCAGTCACATGTCCACATTGCTTAGGTGAAGTCTTAGGGAGATAAGAACGATGATTGAGGTGAAATGGAATGAGTTTAAATAAGTTTATAACCATGCATTTAAAGTTTGAATGGAAGTTACCATGCATATGTGGATTTGATCCTTTCTAGTGAGTTAACTAAATTGAATCCATTGGATATGACTCACAAAGAATTTGACTTGGATTGAGTCCTACAATGGCATAATATTGATAACTTAATGGTTTTGAATTGGACGTATATAACAATTTAACCAAATTAGGAATGATTTGACCATACGTGGGCTTAGTTGACTAAGATAACCACTGATTGGAGCATGGTGATCAGTCATGTCTAATCCATTAGAGATGATGTTCAAAGCACTTTAATGAAGATCAGATGTGGTTTGGAGTTTGGTTGGTATTAATTGAGGTTGATGATTAATTGAGCTATCTTGGGCTAGCTCAATTGGGTTAAGTTGGGTCAATCACTGGCCTAGGAGCTAGTGATGATTGATTTAATATATTTAGACCTCCCAGTGAAGTGATTTGGACCATGTATGCAGCTAAGGAGTTAGTGCACTGTGCAAGGTAGTGCACTGGGCTACTTGATTATAGTGCAGGGATGCAATTGTTTAGGTGATTGTAGATCAATGATTATTGATTAAGAAATTGATTGAGCTTAGTGAAATTAGATATTCAGAGTGCTTGTGAATCAATTAGATGAAAGCTGAGTGATTGTAAGTCAGATAATTAAGAATCAACTTATTGCTATCAAAGTGAATGTAAGTTAACTGGTTGTTGGTTGTATGATTGAAGCCTATTGAAGGTTGATTGAAGTGTAATAGATACAAAGTGATGGCTAATTAATTATTGATTGATTTGACATGGTTGGATGTAGACTATAAGCAATAGTCAATGATTTGTTGAGGTATGAATGGACGTTGATTGTAGAGGGTGATTGAATGTGAACTAAGGGCTATAGATCAAATTATTGAAGGCTAGATGACTTACAACTTGATGATTATCAATCATAAAAATAACAATCAGGAGTTTAGGTAGTTTATGATGACCTCATACTAATTCTTAAACACAAACACAACTAGTTCTTAAATAATATATTATTTATTTCTGAAATCAGAAGTCAATCTTACACATACACTCATAGTGAATAGGTTCAATACAAGTAATATAAAGGGTCAATAATTTGGATAATTGTTATGACCTTTCTAACTTCTAGACTATGATGTATTATCTTATACTTTAGTAATTTTAAATAATCAATTTTATTTGAGCTATTAAGTTAATAATCATGTGGTTTCATCATTGCTTGAGGACAAACAAAAGTTTAAACTGGGAGAAATTAATTAAGTGTAAATTTTGTATTATTTATTATATTTAAATTCAGTAAATATATATTATTTTAGTTATATTTATGTAAGATATGTTCAGGAGAATGAAAAAAATTGAAGTGTTGAATGAGTGTTGCAGTGCCCCACAAATTCAACATCGCAATGTGGCTATCTACAACATATCAGTACCTATTTGTAATACTATAACACTAGCCTCATCAACCTCTCAGGAATTTAAGGAAAAATTAGTGCCCTGATGAAGCTAATTTTAGTTCCAAAGCGTCTCTTTGCACCATTGTGCCATAAATTAGTACCACAGAATTGGAGTCTAAAAAAATGAGCGTTGGAGCTTCTATCATTAAAACAATGCAATGTCAGATTGTACTTCTAAGTGTTGCAACGCTCTAGTTTTGCATTATCATGATAAAGAAATTGTTAAAATGAAGAGCCACACTGACTAAATAAAAAGACACATCGATTCAACCATGAATCATGCTAGGTCAGGGCAATGTTGGAGCGGAGCAAGCATTACAGTGCTGAGACACTTGTTCATTTTATATCATCACATTACAACCTTATCAAGCGCTGTGGCACTTGAGTCCATTTATATACTTGTATAAATAATTTTTAAAGTTCTTTTGTTAGATATTTCTATCATTTCTGTGGAGTCTTATACTTTATAGTGTCTTTCTTTAGCTCCCCTTAGAGTAAATTTTAAGGGAGGCTAGGAAAAAATAAGATACTTTCATTGGGTGATCTAAGCCTATATTATGTAAGCAATTTTATTGTTGATGGAAGAAGTGTGGAGAATATCAATTGATCCTTCTAGGTGATATTTATCTTATTTATTCTCCTATATCTTTTTCTTATATGAATGAAATGAACATGAGTTTTCTTTTTATATTAACATTATCTAGCTAAATCTATACATTTTGGGCTAATGTTGTAAACGCATAGCAAGTACTAAAGTAAACTCTTATGCTTTAAATTACTTCATAGATATTTTCAATATCATGCATTCTTAATTTACACAATTTTTTAAAGGATTCATGTCAAGATTATTTGATAAGTTTTACGCTATCGACTACCTAACGCAATCCTAAACTTTTCTCATCCAGGACTTGGGACCTGACAACGATAGTGTTAAACTTTAGTATATATGCTCCCTTACAGAAAAATTATTAGAATTAATAGATATTATGATTCATAGGAATATAAATATTATGTGCATTCAAGAAACTAAATAGGTTGAAGAGAAAGCTAAGGAGATTAATAGTTTAGGATATAAACTTTGGTATTCAGGTATGAGTCATACTAAAAATGGTGTAGGTGTGATTATAGATAAGAGTTTGAAGGATAATATTATACAAAATAATAGAATTGGAGATAGAATTATAACTTTAAATATTATTGTTGATGATAAGATTGTTAATATTATGTGCTTATACTCCTCAAGTAGGTTTGGATATGAGTTCAAAATTAAAATTTTAGAATAACTTAGAAGAATTAAAATAAAAGATACCTCTTGAAGAAAGAGTTTTTATTAGAGGAGATTTAAATGGACATTTTGGTAGAGAGGTAGATGATTTTAAAAGCATCCATGGTGGCCATGAGTTTGGAACGACAAATGAAGGTGGTAAGACTATATTAGATTTTTCTTTAGCTTATGATTTCTTAATAGCTAATATCTTATTGAAGAAGAGAATCACTTATAAAAATGGATATAGTAAAATGAAAATTGATTATTTTCTTAAAAAAAAATAGATCGTTTAGATTATAAAATTTTTTAAGTTATTTCGAAGATTGTAAAGTTATTATGAGCAAAAATTTATATACTCAATGTTGATTATTAGCTTTGGATTTTAAGATGAAGGGGGAAAAAATAAAAAATAAAGTAAAATGATTTTCTAGGATTAGATGGAGGCATTTAAATAATATTAATAAAAATATTTTTTAGAGTAAGATTTTAGATCTTAAGATTATATCTGTGCATGAGGATGCCAATATTTTGTGGGAAAAAGTAGCTTGTGACATTAAGAATATTACAAGATATGTGCTTAGAGTTTCGAAGGGAAAATCTCCTAATAGTAAAAATAGTTGGTGGTAGAATTCAAAAGTGTAAGAAAAGATAAAAAATAAGAAGATTTGTCATAAAAATTAGTTTAGATGTAAAAATTTTGATAATTGGGAAAGCTATAAAAAAGGCTCGTAAGGAATCTAAGAAAGTTATTTGCGATGCAAAGAGCTTAGCTTTTAATGATTTAT